TGCTCATGGGTCAAAATGTTACATGTCCATATGGTTTAGTTTCTTATCTATGTTCGCTGCAAAATGAAAGCTTAAACACTGGACATTTAGAAACAACTGTTTTGTCCTCATTTGTAATACAAATGGGACAGTTGTGAGAGGCACAGGCTCTTGAAGTATTTACCATGGCTTTCTGTAAAACAAACAAAAAATCATTTAGTGCTTTAGGCAGACTTGCTGATAAACCTGCTTTATTTTAACAAAACATTTCTGTGCATACACAATAGTTTATGACATGTTTGAAACATCATAACATGATTTATGAAGTATGATTTTTATTTCAGACTTCATAAAATGTTAGTATAATACTGTTATGACTCTCAGAAATCATTTCCACAGATGTAAGATAAGTAAAATAGAAGACATATTCAGGAATTAACTGTTAGAATGAATTCAGTCTGAAGGATGGCAGTTTAGATCTAGTTAACCAAAGAGCTGTGCACTATTTCTTATAATCTTACATTTTTGCTCTGATATAGTTACCCTGTGCTTTAGTCCTATCTAATATCCATATTTAATGGATATTTTTTAAAAATGAATTTTAAAAAACAAAACAGTTGTGTAATCGAATGGGGTGTTTTTTTTATTTAAACTACCCTTACTAGTTTTAATTTACTTGACATACAGTACCAGTTACAATTTGAGTTTAACAATTTAACAAAAAAAAACGCATGTATTCATGTAGAACAAGTTATATTGGATCCAAAAGAAAGGTTTATTTTACTCAAAAATATTTACCACATCTGTAAGCAGTATCTATATTTACAGAGTGTGGCTGTTGTAAATACCAGAATTGCTTTTGGTTTCCTTTACATAATTACATTCTGTAGCAATTTCCAGGATTCTTCTTTTTTCTATTTTTTTCTGTTAGAATTGGCAACTTTCTTTAAAATGCAGAGAACTTAATTTTTAATTCTTGCATTCATTATTTATTGCAGTGACAGTGTTGTTATCAGGACGAACCATTGCTTGAGTGCTCCATTCCCGGTGAGTTTGGACAGATCACCAGACTGGATACCTGCCCAGCGGCCTCTGAATAACACCTGATGAGGGGCTTGAAAAAAGTCAGTGACACAAACCTGGGAACTCACAAACGGTCACAACAGAAACTGGGAGGTGCTTCAGAGAACCTCCAGCTGACATGGTGCTTCCACCTAGCAATATGAAACCCTTACAATAAAAAGGGACTTATGAAAATTGGCAAAGGAATAAAAGATTTTGCAGTTGTTTTCTTAGCATATCTGTTCTGAAGACTACTGTAGCCACTGCAAATAAACTCCAGAAATCAGCCTTCTATGTAAACACACAGTGCTTGAATATCGCGGTGTTATGTTATCAGATACACAGATTTACAAAAAATTTTGTGAGAACAAATTGCCGTCCAAATGAAAAACTCTTTGCCCTTTTAGAACATAAAAGGCTTGAGCTCTTAGTCCTAGGGAATGACAAGCAGACCTGTGAGGATTACTTTTATCACATGCAATGAAAGCATGCCTTTGAATTATAGTGAAATAGAAGTAACCTAGTAAATGTTTCTGCATATCAGGCAAGACTCCCGGTGGGACCTGTGAAATTGCTTTGTATACTGAATATCATTTGATTGGAAAGATGTATTTTGTTGTTATTTTAATCAGAATTTCCAGCCATTACAAACTTAATAATTTAGGAAATCTTATTGCAAGTTCATTTTTTTAAGTTGACTTAAATTTAAGATGACTCATAAAGGGGGAGACATATGTTCCATTCCATTCATTCCAATACCCGTAATTTTAATTAGAAAATCATGTCTGAAAAATGTGGATGTCTCATACTGTAGCTGACAGCTACAGTATGAGAAATACTGCATAACTGAAGACCTGGGTTAAAGGGTTACTTAGTGTTCTGCAGGATTTATAGCTCAAAGCAATACTTTAATGTAGTTGTCTCCAATGATGTCTATATCATAGGGATGCCTTCTTGATTACTGTCATAAGTAGCTTTTGTCAGTTCGGACTGATGGGATTTATTCTTGCTTTATCATTTTAGTTAGGATCTGTTAAAAATCAAGCCACAGTCCTCTATCCTGCTCTAATGATGCTCATTTATCTCTGTTGTTCTACTCCTCAGCTGAGTGAAGACTCTGGTTAAAACTACATAACACCCTGAATTATCTCTTTCTGACAACAACATGATCATTTACTTTTAAGAATAATCCTTGAGAGTTTGTGAGTCAGACCTGTAATAGTTATTTGATTTGTCACTGCTCAGCTGCCAGAAGAAAATATAAAATCTTGTGTGGCTTCAAAGGCTTTTGTGTCCTTGGTTCGATTCCGAAGGCAGCCCTCAGTGTGAAGTTTGCATCTTCTCCGCGTGGCCACATGTCTGAACTGGTGGTGTGCCGGTTTACTCCCTCGGGAATCTGCAGTTCTTTTCTTTACTCTCTCTGTGTGGTGATGGACTGATACTCCAGGAGTCATCCCAACTTGCCTATTGTCAGCTGGGTGAGGCTCCAGTTTGCCATGACTGCACTGGACTTAGTGGTCATTGAAAATGGACTGCCGGATACTGTAAAGTACTGAACAATTCTTCCGTAAGCTGAGAAGAATCGAGGAAAAGGAATTTATGCTCAATATCATGTTTAGTTCAAAAAGCCAGACATTAGGTCCCCCTTGCATTACCTCAATTACCTCTGGGGAAAACACTACACCACAGTCACTCAGACAGGGATACAATGTTTCACCCCACTTCCACAGCAGACTTTGGCAGATATAAGCTGCTTTACAGAGCTCTAGACAGAGGACATACAGATATAACAGCTCTAAACATCATGACAGATTCATAACACGGAAGGTAGTACTAACACCGCTGGTATACCCCGCCTACCCTTGTGTAAAGAGGGAGTTCAGTCTTAGGACTTGAATGACACACTGCAGTGTGTGGAACTACTACTGTAACCAGACTGGGACCCCTATCATCAGGAGGAGGGACTGCCACTGGCAATATAGTGTCAGCACTAACACAGCAGTGCAAACCCAAATATTTAGGGTAGCTATAAATATGAGCAGTATGATCAGCATTGAAAATTTTCAAGGGCTGTTTTTCTAAGTTTTTCTTAAGAATTATGCAGCTATGCAGCCAACCTAAACCATTCCTGATTTAAAAAAAAGGGTTTTATAGACGTGCACCATAATTACAGGAATATGTATTTTGTTTGAAAAAGCAGAACACTCCACTTTAAATAAAGCATCTCAGTTCCCACGAGCTTGACTTCCAGCTCTTTGCACTTACACAGTACATTCCAAAGGCAAAATACACATGTGCTTTCTGACACACAGAGCGCCTGCACAATATCATCTCACTCTTCATATGTCAGTGGTTTTGAGCACTGAGCTCCTTGGTTCACAGACTGTACTATAAGAGGCAAGCCCCATAGGAAGCTATGTGCAATTAAAAACATCTGGAAACTGTGAGAGCCTTGTTTGAAATTGACTTAGAGAAGACAATTTCCAATGGCTAACAAAGCAATTTTTTACTTGACGTACTAGCTGATGTTTTCTGTCAGAACTGATGGTTAACATTTTAAATATTTTTGCAGATTACATTTAGAAAAGAAGGAGCCTGTTGAGCAGGTGACCTTTTGGCAATCGATATATATTAGAACAACTATATGTATAAATATGTTTTAATTCATACATAATTCTCTGTTCTAACTGATAACTCTGATACTTCTGATTCGGCTGATGTTTTTATGAAATATATGTTGTTGAAGCATATATTGTTTTAATTAAAACCATTCATTTTCTAGCCCCTTTATCCAATACAGGGTAGCAGGAGAAGCAGCACCTGTCATGGCAAGCAACAGGCACAAGGCCGGCTACGCCCTGGATGGGACGCCAGTCCATCACAGGGCACACACATACTAGGGCCAATGTTTCCAGCAATCAATGAACCTATGTCTTTGGGCTCTGGGAGAAAACCAGGGGAAACCCACACGAACGTGGGAAGGACATGCAAATTCCACACTGACAGTGCCCCAAGAACTGGAGCCAGGACCCCGACTCTACAAGTACCGACTGTACTAACCACTGTGCCACTCTGCTGCCATCCATTAAACACATGCTAAACATAGATACCTCGACCATCTCCAAGATGGGTCAGAAGTAGAATATATATATATAAGACCTCAGCAGTATCAGGCATGTTAGTGGAAGTACAAGCCCCTGGCTCTGTGCACAGAGTGTGAGACCGCTACCCTGGCTCTGTGCACAGAGTGAGAGACCGCTACCCTGGCTCTGTGCACAGAGTGAGAGACCGCTACCCTGGCTCTGTGCACAGAGTGAGAGACCGCTACCCTGGCTCTGAAGCCCCTGAGCTGCAGCCAGTCCCTATGCATAATGCATGATGAGAACAGGAATATTAATGAGACATACAGCACAGTAATTGCAGTAAAAGATCATGAATGGCTGCAGGTGCAAAACTTATTCATAACCAATTTGTTCATCTGGTTTTATTTTTTGAATGTTTTTAATGTAAGTGTCAGAATGTTCTTGATTTGTTTACCAATCATTGCATCAGCGAGATGGGAGGAAATGTGGAATAATGCTCAGGAATAGGTTTCTTAGAAATTACTGTTGTTGGACATGTGTGGTAAGGGAATGGTGATTTTCAGGCCTACCACAGATTTCACTGGAATAAGGGATGATGAAATAGGCTACATGTTTGTCACAACTCCCATGTTGACATTTAATTTGGATGCATTTATTTAGTAAAACAGGCTGATTTTTCTTCTGTTCAGGGGAATCTAAAGTAATTGAATATTACATTAGCTTATTTAAATAAAGATGCAAAAATGCAACCAAAAAAAAAAAACCCCGCAGATTACTCAGAAGAACCGTACAAGCAGCATCTTCCAACGTCCAGGTGCGCGACAGGAAAGAACTACGAGTCCCGTCTGCCGCGCCGCGCATGCGTATTTGGGCCCGGGGCAGCGGCGCCTGCGCGGGTTTCGAGAGCTGACGCAAGCAGCCCGAGGCGCTGAGCGAGAAGAAAAGAGCGAGGACGGAGCAGCGCGAGCGAGGAAATTCGGACAGGGGACGACAGGACGCGAACATGTCTGGCGACGAGGTGAGTGGGGAGCGGAGAGTGTCGTTACGCCGCTGCGTGTGTGTGTGTGTTGCCTGCACCCCTCGGGAGGCCGAGTGAGGGAGGTTGAGTAGCGGACCCGGCGGCGTGAGGCCTAGTCCCCATGTGAGCGAGCGGCCGCCGGCTCCCCACGCCTGCAGAAACCACCCACACGCGTGTCTTCCTGGCTGCACTCACTCACACACGCACACGGGAGGACGCAGCTCCGGGAAGGCTCGCCTCTTCGTGGTAGATTTACAGATGAGCAGGGGGGGATTTCCTCCACGTTGTCGGAGAACCCAGGGTCGTCTGGCGAGCAGGCCGTGGCGTTGAACACGTCCCCTGCCTCTTTTGGCAGTTTAGCAAAGTCATTTTCCTGCGTGTTTTCCCGCCCCCCCCCGAAACGCCCAAGCGGGGCGACTCTATAGCCCCCAGCAGCTGTGAACATACTCCCCTCCCTTCTTTTTGTACAGAACAAGATCATCATATCGGTGTAATGTTTCCACCAGTGGCTGTGAGTGGGTGCCCCTCGTGTGTGCCAGGCTTGTGTATTGTTAATTCGGTGTGAGGCTGCTGGGGAGGGAGGGGGGGTGACCCTGACATCCGACCCCTGACATCCGACCCTTGTGTCCCGAGCAGAGCAGTCTACCTGCACGTTGAAGGGTTAATAGGCCGGTGCGCTGGAGCAAGTCCCCCAGTGCTCACAGTCAGCTCTGTGGATTTCACCAGTATGAAGGGTGAAAGGTGAACCAGGAGAGACAAGTATAGACTACAGGAAAGAGCTCAAAACCAAGAACATGAGGCTCTTTTCACTAATAGTTGTGGGAGTGTGGAGCAGGCATGCTGAAGCCGAAGCTCCTGCGTACCAGCCAGGCGGGGTGGGGTGCTCTCGTTTGCAGCCTTTCTTGTCGTCTAGTGTTTCCTGTCATGGCACTGGGAGATGGAAACGGTGATCTCTCGGGTGTTGCTGGGATTCCCGATGTCTCCTCTAGTGGGGCGCCCGCAGCTGGTGCAGTGGAGGTGTGCTGGGGCGCGGTGTCAACCCTTCCTGTTGCCGTGTGCAAGCCGTGGCCGGTCACGGCCCGCGCGCCCCCCCCCCCCAGCCCTCACGGCGCTCTGCCCTCTCCCCGCAGATGATCTTTGACCCCACCATGACCAAGAAGAAGAAGAAGAAGAAGAAGCCCTTCATGCTGGAGGAGGAAGGGGGCGACGCCCCCAGCGAGGACACCCAGCAGCCCGAGGCCAACGTGGCCGAGCCGGAGGGGGGCGAGGACAAGGACCTGGAGTTGGACGAGGACGAGGGCAGGAGGAAGGGTGAGGGAGCGTCCCTGCCCCCCTGCCAGCGGAGGAGTGGAGCTGGGATTGGTGTTCAAGAATATTCCCACTAATGTGACCTTCGCAGCTCTCATGCCTGTGCCTAGTTAAGACGCATACATATACACGGCTGAGTTAGTTTGACTCTGTTGCTTCCTGTATACTGTTGACCTGCTTCTATTACAAAAGCATACATTCATGCTTTAATAAAATTCTTAGCATTTGCTATGGGACAGATTTAAATGATCAGTTGTGATTTTAAATGAGCTAATGGTGTTCGATTTGGTTGTTTTCAAACCCAGTTCTCTGTTTAGGTTGTTTGTTTTTTTTCCACTATGCCTTGGAAAGGGCTGTTATGCGTTTTCTTTCTCGGTGTTTTGTCGAGAGCAGAGTCTGAAAGCGTTTTGGAATTCTTTTCAGGGTCTTAATTTTTTTTTCCCCCCCATTTTAAAATTTACAGAGGTGTCAGATGATCTCGATGACCTGAACTTCTTTAACCAGAAGAAAAAGAAAAAGAAGGTTAAAAAGACGTTTGATAATGACCTTGAGGAAGGGATAAAGGTCAGTACCAGAGGAGCACCACTGTGCGTGTTCACATGCGACATCCGAGAAACATGACCAGAGAGGTGGTGCTCCCAGTTTGTAATGAGAAACTGCTCCCCTCTTTTGTGTTAATGTTGTGCATTGGAATAGCTGTTTGTGTTGAGCACCATGAAACTAGAATAGCTGTTGGTTGTATTTGTGACTGTCTGGAGACTCAAAGCCAATTTTATTCTTAATACTTAATTTGCGAGTTCAGTGCTGTGCAGAATTCAGCCATGTGCGAGATGTATGTTGTAAAGGAGACTTGGCACGATTGACTTTTGACATGCAGAGCTGTAGTTTGCTGTGGTTTCCTGCCTTCATATATCGGACTGGAGGGGGAACCAAGTCCCAGATACAGAGGCAGGCATCCCGTTCCCTCTGGCCTGATCAGAGCTCGCGTGGGGTCTCTTACTGTTCTCGCGCTCCACCCTGCTGCCCTCAGGAGTTGAAGATTGAGGGGGAGACAGAGGCCATAGAGGATGATGACCTGGATCTGATGCTGCCGACCAAGAAGAAGAAACCCGTCAAGAAGGTGGAGTTCCAGGACGAGAGCGAGCTGCAAGACCGCGACGACGGTAGGTCTGACTGTACGTGCGTCTCGCCGGGAAGTCTGACACGCACTTAAACATGTGGAAATTTCTGGCCAATTGTCTTTTGAAGAGAAACACACGTTGTTTTATGCAGTTATAAGAGAGGGTGCAAATAGCTATTTTGTTTTCAGTTACGTTACTTTTTTTACAGCAGCGCTGACAGTGCTGGTTTCTGAGATTTGTGCCTTTCAGCCGGTCCCCGGCGCTCGGCACGTCTTGCGGTCACCTTGCGTCTTCTGACGGCCCCCCACAGAGGGGGGGGGGGCTGTGTGAATGGGTTAGGTGATGCCGCTGACTGTTTTGGCAGCACCCGAGGACGAGGACGGAAAGAATAACGACGGGATCACGTTCAGCGCGCAGACGGGGCCGTCCTGGGCTGGGACGGAGCGGGACTACACTTACGATGAGGTAAGGAGCTCTGCCCACCGCGGCGCAGTGCCCACGCCGGCTCTTCGTCTCCGCAAGCGGCAGGTGCCTCACCTCTCCGTTTTCAATTCGGTTTTTAGCTTGGGTTACGATACACCGGGGTCTTTTTAACCCATGTTTTGAGGAATATGCTTTTATCAGACATTCAACCCAGACTCTGACTATTTGCTTAGTAAGAAACCTGAAGACACTAAGTGTATGGCTATAAGCCTCACCCCAGGGTCCTGTTTAAATACTGCTCTGGGTTTTGCAAAGTCTGTCTCTTCTTAATTTAGCAGTTTGGCAGTTTAAAATAGTTTCTCACTCCTTCCCCTGATCTGCTGTGCGGGGGAGCTGCTGTGTTGCACGAAGGGGTTCCAATCCTGTCTGTAAAGTGTTGTGCGATTGTGTTTGGAGCGGTGGGGTGGCTCTGTGGCTCAGGATCTGTGGCTGGAAGGTTACTGGTTTGTATCCTGCGGTCGGCAGAGGAATCCTACTGTGTTGGGCCCTTGAGCAAGTCCCTTAACCCCAGCTGGTCCAGGGGTGCTGTATAAATGGCTGACCCTGCGCCCTGACCTCAAGCTTCTCTCTCTGTGTGTGTCTCTCATGGAGAGCAAGCTGGGGTCTGCGAAAAGACAAATTCCTAATGCAAGAAATTGTATAGGGCAAATAAAGTGATCTTATCTTATCTTTTGATCCTCGTTATAAACTGTGAGCAAATCATCGCCTGAATCTTTTTTTATGCATGACTTCAATCAAGAACAGTTATCCCACTAAACAGGAATAGTATAGGAATAGGAGAGTACGAATCTGGAATTCAAACTGGGTTAATATTGCAGTTCAGGTTCTGAATCCCATGCAGCGGGCTGGATGCTCTCCAGGCCCCCGAGAGCTGTACAGGAGGTAGGAGGTAGGGGCCGCTGCCTTGCGCGCCTGTCCTTCACTCGATGCTCTTGTCTGCAGCTGCTGAACCGCGTCTTCAACATCATGCGCGTGAAGAACCCCGACATGGTGGCGGGAGAGAAGAGGAAGTTTGTCATGAAGCCGCCGCAGGTGGTCCGTGTGGGGACAAAGAAGACGTCTTTCGTCAACTTCACGGATATCTGCAAGCTGTGAGTCCTTCCCTTTCTCTGGTGCAGCTTGACCGTTTAACCGTTTTTTTATTATGGACTGTGGTATTCTCATCTGGCCTGTTAAAAGAGGCAGGCGTTTCAGTGTGACACTATACCTCTAAGAATGACAGTGCAGCACATATCAAAGCATGCTGCAGAGAGACCAAGGCACACGTCTCTAGTGTAGCGATACCTCAGTTTAACGGAATAGCTTTGTTCCATCTTGTTGGTTCACTACCTGGAACTTAACCAGAGACACCAGGAGGTGTTCCAGCACTTGTGTAGAAAATATAATTTTCAAAAATAAAGGAAATGGGTTTTAACACATGAACATTGATGTTTAGATCTGCTACTAAGGTCAGTCGATTGCTAGATAACCAGGTGTGGGCGACTCACGAGCATCTTCTCCGATTGGCCTCCGATGATGCGAACAAACCCCTCTGCACCCTTTCTGCTGATGCAGCCCGTCTCTCCGTTTTTAATATTTAGAGTTGCTTCACATGATTTCTTGGGTTTGTTTTTTCAATACTTTTGCAAAGAAAAGATGAGCGTTGTTCCCAGAGCGCTAGCAGAGGTATTTTTTCTTTTGCTGAGTAGATACCTTTGTTCAGGGCACCCTTAAGAGCTAGAAAATTTAAATTAGTTGCAAGTATCAGCCACAATAGTATGGGTACAGCAATGAAAAAAGTTGCTGATTAAAACAAAAGATCTATAAAAGATGACTGGTCGCCAGATTATGGCACAAAGCCTACTGTAGGGAAATAAACTGAACTGTACAAAGTCATCGTACACAGCCCAAGAAACGCAAGCTGTCACAATTAAGGAAACAAACTTTCAGCTGTTTCCAAAAACAGCCAGTCGTCAGCTGTGGATTAAAATACAGTGAGTTTGACCTTTTCTAAGGATCATTGCTGCTTTAAACTAATATGTTCTGTGATTGAAAAGGGAGTCAGATAATGGAGGTTAATTATGTACCTGCCTTTGACTGCGCTCCCTGAATGAGAGGGGTTGAAAGTAAGTTCTGCTGGCTGCCAGTAATAGTCATTGTTCATGTATTTGCCTTTTTGCTTCAGTGTGCTGTTCATACGTCTTTGTATTTTATCTTAGACTTACTGTGTGTAGGAAAAACGCATCTTTTCCGCATTTCATATCGAATTGAAGTGATATCATGCTGGTTTCTTTGCAGTCCACTCTCTGACCCTGCCCTCTTACCCTCTGTGAAATGAGCTTATTGAAATATGGACGTTCCTGTAAGCGGTGAAGTGGAAGCGTGCTTCCGTGCGTTTTGATCCATACTCCCAACGCCCATTGTTTGAGAATGCCGAAAAGCAAAGGGCTATTATTTGTTTGGGATGCGGTCCTTTTCACCAGAGCTCACTCTGACCGCTGTTTCCTTTTCTCTCTTGTTGCTAGATTGCATCGTCAGCCCAAACATCTCTTAGCCTTTTTATTGGCTGAGTTGGGAACGAGGTAAGTTACTGCTGCTGTGTGTCTCCTGTTTGTCTGTGATCTGGGGAAAGAGAATAATGGACTAGGAGTAGAACCTCAAGTCCATTCCACTCCTTGAGGGAACTGCTGATCACTGATCCCCAAATTGGTCATTCCTGTTTGTCTAGAGAAACCTGTCACAACCTGGCTTGGCCAAGAAGTTCTTGTTTTCCTTTTATACTCTTAATGATGGGTTGGATTGATGCACGTTTGTGTCATCTTCACAGTGGTTCCATAGATGGCAACAACCAGCTTGTGATCAAGGGAAGGTTCCAGCAGAAACAGATCGAAAATGTGTTGCGAAGATACATCAGTAAGTGCGACTTCAAAGAAACGTATTTGACTTGACATTGTTTTTATTGCTAAGTCCTAAAAATGCTGATAAGGAAAGCTGTTGTGCACTGTCATGCTATGTTTTAGAAGTATAGACCTATATTTCATGGTATGTTTGGCATTTTGATTAAGCCCACTGTCCTTTCCTTAACCCTTTTATGGTCTGTGGAGATTTAAAGTCCTGGCAAGACTTTGACAGTAGTGGAAATTAGTGATTTGAGGGCTCATAAGGCCTTGTGGGACAGCAGAGTTTTTGTCTACTGACATACTACAGGTGGACACTGGCCAGAGTTAATCTCCCAAAGAGCCAGATGTGAATTTTGTGTCCCTAAAAGAGAAATTTAATCTCAACTGATTTTTTCACACTCTGCAAAGTATGAATAAAAAAAGAACAAAAGAACAGCTTTTATAATTTTACCAAACATGGTTTTCAATGGGCGAGTCATTGGAGCTGAATCTTATCAATACACCCTGCTCCCCATCCTTGAAAAATGTAGAAAACTGATAATTGTATGCATTGAAGTAATCACCATAAGCACACCTTGTATAAAACAAGCCTTTGACCAGCCTTTAGTTAGCGTATTCAACATGGATACTTTCACCAGTGGTGCAGAGAGACCTGTCCTGTTCCCAGAAAATTTTCTATATATATAAGTAATATATAGTGCTCTTTTTCAAAACGAAATCAAGCCATGAAGGCAAGGCTGAAACAGCGCTTGCTGTCGTCAGAGGGACTGGATTTGGAATAGCAGGCTACGAGATTAATTGTGACTCGGTGAGAACTGGGATGCGGTACGTTCCTGCCAGAGTTTGGCCTGGATGCTTTTGAAAACCCTCGGCCGGGTTGTTTGAGGGCTAGCTGCCCGCAGAGAGGCCGCCAGCCCGGTGCCCCTGGTGTCTGACGGCGCTGTGCCCTGTGTGCCCCGCAGAGGAGTACGTGACGTGTCACACCTGCCGCTCCCCGGACACCATCCTGCAGAAGGACACGCGCCTCTACTTCCTGCAGTGCGAGACCTGCCACTCCCGCTGCTCTGTGGCCAGCATCAAGACCGGCTTCCAGGCCGTCACGGGCAAGAGGGCGCAGCTGCGCGCCAAGGCCAACTGACCCGGCCGCCCCCGGGGCAGGGGCGCCTGATGGGACTCCTTCTCCAAACTGTGTGGGTGGGCCGGCGCCGGTGGGAGCCAAGCCTGGCCAGGACGGGCCCGGTGGTGATACCCCCCCCCACTCCAGCGGTCCTCCGCCCGCCCCGCATGCTACACCACCGCCTGTGGTCACCTGGTACCCCCACTCCCTGCAGGCTTCAGCAGACCTGGGTTTTTCCTCCCCTGATTGTTTTTTTTTTTTATTCTTTAAATAATCACATTATTAAATCTCGTTACTTCAGTACTTTATTAAATCAATGTGAATTTACAGTTTAACGGCAATGGGAATTTTTGTCTCCTGGGTTAATTGGAGAGGTTGCTTTTGCACGTTGTCGTCGGATGCATTTCATGCGGTCTGCTCGATACTGCTTTGACCCCTGGAGTGTCCAGCTCATTTCAGCTTTCCAATGTTCCTCTCTGCGGTGCTGGGAGCTCCTGGTGGACGATGAGAGCTCATCGACATCATAATACAGCACTGCTTCATTTGCTGCTTAAGAATGATGTGCATTTTAGATGTGAGCTCATGGCCATAAAAATTTGGCTTGGTCAGGAGAAATGCAATCCTGCTATGGTAAACATAAGTCAGTGTCATTCAGGTGTAAACATGCTTAAAAAGAAATATCTACTTATTTTTAGTCATTGGTGGGGAGTGTTGGAACGGACTTAGTTCTCAGTTTGACTAAATGTTTTGAATCTGGGCAACAGTGTCTTGTGGCTGAGAGTTTGGTGGTTAGTGTTTGAGAAACTAACATGCATTCTCACAAAAAAAACCCTGAACACAGTCTTTAGCCAAATTATTTTCATGGCCCTTGACGTGACATGATTCCCAAACTACACTGCCAGATAAGACTGGGCTCTCACCACCACTCCAACATAAAGGAATAAACATGTGGATGTGCCAGGGTCTGGAGTTGCTAGGACAGGGCTTATTTCCTGGAACAGCAGCACACTGAGCAACAGCTTTAGCACCTCTTGGAAAAATTTAGTGAGTGTGTACCTGGCGTATTCCCAAATTAGCCCTGTGAAAATAAAGAAAATTCTCTTTGGCTTTTCCCCGACTGTAAAGCTTATCTGCATTTATTTGTGTTTTCACTGCTTCTGGCTGGATGAGCAGGGAGGAGACTGGCTGTTCGGAGAGGTGTAATAGTTGGAATGTGTTGGTGTTCTTATTTTAAGAGCTGCTCGCTGCCCAAACGGCATGGCCTAAATTCTCATTAATGTCACGGTTTTAAACAAAACCCTGCCCCAGACAAAGCTGATGCTGCTGGCTGCCTGCTCACTACCTGTGTGAAACTTCAAATCTACAGCACAGTTCTGACCTTCTGACCTGGAGACATTTTTGTGGTAAAAGAAGAAAGCCATCATGTTTCAATCTGTTGGTGGGGAGGGGTTGTCTCTTCTCCCAGCACATACTTTGCAGTTTTTGAGTGGGGTAACATTTGTCGGCCAAGCTGTAAAATTCCGGTATCATCTCCACATTCTTACTGGCAGCACGGGAGCATTTAAGCTCTTACCTCTGTCGGACCGTTTCGTGAGCTTTTGCACTTGGCACCTCTCTGCTGGTCCAGAACAGCTTTATTCAGAAACCAATTCCAGATGGCCATCGTAAATTTACCTCTCGCATGTTTTATTTCAGAGTTGTGCAGGAGTTTTAAAGCTTGCTCTTTCAGCACAGGGAAAAAAACGCAAAATCCAATTTGATGTTACGTGTCCAGAGCTGAACACGTGGTGTTTGGTATGCTGGCGGTCTCCATCATTTCTCCCCTCACAGAGGGCACTTCAGCATAGCTCAGTCTTCATGGTCAAAACGCCAGAAGACGTCTGATCTGGAGTTTGTGGGGCGGGCAGGCTAGACCTTGGAAGACAGTGTTGTAAATGTGGGCTTTAGCAGGAAAAGCACAGGCTGGACTGTGTTTCAAATCTAATGTCTAATTGACTCAGGGCTTCCTTTAGGAATCGGTCCTGGGTGGAGGGGTGAAGACAGCACCTGGATTGTATGATTTCTAGTCCTCCAGCCCCTTTTTATCTTACAGCTCTTCAGAATGCTAGTCTGTTCTCTTGCCCTGTGTTTGGAATTGCAGCAACTAAAAATTCCTTTATCCCAGCTGGGAAATTGGTTCTGTACAGCAGTTAAAAGAAAAAAATCATTTTGGGTTCCACTCCAGTATTGTTGGAGGGCTAGGTTAATCTCCGAGTCATTCCCTTTCTGTCTTAAAAGTTTGGGGTGTAATGGTTTTGTTGAAATACGGTGTGCAGATCTAGAGAAAGCAGGCCCCCTGGGTCCTGCCTCTTGCAGTGAGCTATTTAAACTGGGAGAATTATGATCTGTTTTTCTGCAGAAACCTTTTCCTTAGTTTAGCATATTATTCTTCTCAATTAACTGATTTTTCAGGCAAACAGGATGCACAAGCTTTTTCAGCTCTGTAGTCTCCAGACCCACAGAAAAGTTTTGGCAGAACATTAAGAGGCAGGAGCTCCTGTTGAATGTCACTGATCACTCTTGGTAGTGATTCCTGGTGGGATGACTGGAATTCTGGTTCCATTTAGCCTAGTGGACTGTGCTGCGTGCTCACTTGTGTAACGGCACACTGTTTCTTTTATGGTAAAGTGGTGACATTTTATGTCCTTTTCAGTTTTTATTACTGAAATAAAGCACACAGCCCTGCTGCACTGTCTCCAAGAGCCCCTTTCCAGATGGTGTTCGTGAGTAGCAGGAGTGTCTTGTTAGTTTTAGAAAGCCAGTGGAGGTGGTGCATCAGTCTCGGCCATATTGTTTCTGGTTCGTAGGATGACTTTAGTTCTTTGTGTTCCCCTGCATTTAAGCTTGTTTCTGTCAGGGGGTTTGTGTTACCAGTTATTCTACTGGGGAAATTATCAGTCGCCCCTTTTCTCACAAATCCCACCCCTGACTGATAAACTGCACCTCCAGTGATGAGTTGGAGATAATCTTAACAGATAAGGTTAGGGGTCTCGCGCTTAATTCTGGAGTGTTTCTGGTGTTTGTTCCAACTTGAGCAACCAATTACCTAATTATTTCCACACTTAGGTCTTTTTAAGCTGCTTTACAGCTGATGGCTGAAACCAGTCCCTTCATTAAGGGCATGGTTAACTGTAAATTACTTCCCAGCCTGGCTAAAAGTGTTACATTATTAACCAGTCAAAGAATAAAAAGCTGGAAGACGGCAAACCCTCCAGAAACTGAAAAGACCTGTGAAAGACAACACCCAGTTGAAGTGATTTTGCGTCTGGGTCTTAATACATGCAGTTGTACCCCCTCAAAGGCACTGAGTGCCACAGCCCTGGCTGTGAAAGAGTGGAGCTCCGCCCTGGGCCTCGTGCCCTGAGCTTACCTTCGCCCCCTACAGGCACTGCTGTGCACAGACTGCATCTCTAAATATTATATTGGATGGGTGTTTTTTACAGTGTCAAGATTGAGTCAGTTTCCTTTAGAGCCCCTTAAAAGATTTTTTTAAGGTTTCCAAAAGCTTTAAAAGTTCACTTTTGCTTTTTCTGTGTTCTGAAAAGATTTAATGAGCAGAGTCAGGGGGCGTATTCCAGCTTGTATTTAAGAAAAATGATCAAAGCCAATTTAATGGACCCGTGTGCGCTGGAACTAGAACCTGGTGTGAATGTTTTTTTTTTAATCTGTGCCAATCTAATGAAGACAAAGCATAGCAGTCATACTGTACATTTTCTGCTTATTTTGATGATCTGGCCACTGTAAATTTTAGTTTTTTTAAATGTGATTTACATTTTAACACAGTTACTCATTTTCATTTTTCAATCAAAAATGCCAAGCAGATTAATCAGTTGAGTTCTTATTAAGTGGAGATAAACATGCTGTTGTCTACGAACACAGAAATTGTGGAAAGCAGAGGAGGCCTGTGCTGAATGTGATTTAACCTGTATAGGAACATATAGCCAGTGTATTCTAACTTTATTTATGTGTTGGTCTCTGTTTACATCACGCTTGTATTAGTAATGTACCACCTGGGATTCTGATCTGGTTCTCTTCTTTGCTTAATACTTATGAGCCCAGTTTAGCTGCTTGCAGTTTGTATACTTGCATGAAGACAATTCGGCCTATAGCAGTGAACACCAAAGACATTGGAATTGCCTACTTTCTCTTAAAGTTGTGTACAACTTGCTCCTAGTTCATCAAGGAAGGCGGCTAACCCAGCTGGAGACCTAGGAGGCAAATATAGGATTTGCAGAAAGTGCACTATTTAAAAACTGGCTGCGTTTCACGACTAGGGCCAGTCAGTACATCTGCATTATCGTTCCTCGATTTACTGTTTGTACTACAAATGCATCAAGGAATTGAACCTGTGCTGGTGAAATTCCATAGGTACCCTGCGGACACAGACCCCTGCTAGTCTGTCACACGAGGTAGGCGCTGAGTGCTTTTTGTTTCCAGCTGTTCTGTGCGATTTCTGCACGAGCATTTTCTGTTTCTGAGGGATGCTGGGCCCCTGAGGAGAGGAGGGTATGCTATGCGGCCAAGACCTTACACTGCTCCTCTGCGAGCGCCTTTGATGTTTTCCACAACTCAGCCATGCACCTGCTGCCTAGTGCATGACTAGTTAAGGTTGACTTTTTTTTAAATCAAACTTGACATTCAGTAGGTTAAATCACCCCGCCGCATGTGATCGGTGAACTTGCTCGTTCATGAGGTGGTTGAGTACTTATGCAACAGTCACTTGAGCTCATTGAGGTTTGACATGAACGATCAAACTAAGATAAGGCCCAGCATGTTTATACCTTTTCTAAAATCATTCTTCCAATTTTTTGCTTAGTAAATCATGTTTCAGCCATGTAAAAGCACTGGGCAGGCACGATAGAAATACATGCCAGAATGCGTCCACCACAGTACATAAAAAACCGTTCTGTATAGCTGACTCTTTGGATCCAGCTGCTCAGCTATGTTCTTGAAGCATCTGTCCTAGGATGTTCACAGAGGAGATCCTCCATGTGCATGTGTTAGTAGTGAAGTGAACGGACTTTACCAGCTGGTGCTGTAAGGTTTGCAAAGCTTCTCCCTTTGCCCAGTTACCATGTGTAATGTGTTAGAATATGTGTGCATTCTCAACAAACCAACCTGGCGTCAAACTGCTTTCTGGAAAAACTGCCTGAAACAGTGGCGCTAACGTGATAAAATAACCTGTTGTTCTCCCAGAGGCAAGGTGAGAGAAAACCAAAAATGCAGAGGTCAAGTAAGCTGTTGAAGGCGTCTAATTTCTTCGAGAAATAACAGCCGGCTCGCAAGCTGCACAGCTGTGTGAGCAGGAAGCTGAAAGTGGGCCGCGCGGTGGTGTCTCCTCTGCCCGAGGAACAGGTCCGTGACAGCTCCCAGCATGCCTGCAGCTCGGCTGCACAGACAGGCCACGCCATCACTGTTTTTTATTTATTTACATCTGTAAAGATCTCTTGCAGTCTTGAAAGTGCAAGCAGAGAAATATGCACAAGTAATTAAAAATAACATACTTTTTTTCATCTATTTAAGATCAGCATATATAAATAAAACAAAGATCATGAAAAAACACGAGGGAGGAGTGAAGTGAGGGTCTTCACATTGCTAAGGTTCAGTAGCACTCATAAAACTTCAGTCCTTTTTCTTTGAGAACGCTAATCCAAAGTTTCAAATGTTCTTTTTGAAGTATCTTTTGAACCCCATGAGTTTATTACTTTTTTTTTTTGAAAACTTGCCGCTGTTTTTCCCCAGCGCTCCCGGGAAGTCGCGTTGCTCGCTGGGTCTGGCAGTAGAACGGTTTGCCAGGCTGGCCTCCCACTCTTTGGAAGGCTGGTGCGTCGGTCGTGGAGGAGGCTGTAGATAAAGTTTTGACGGCCCCCCTTGGTTGTCTGTTGCTGCGATGCCTGTGGTACTAAAACAGTTCGTTTCCGGTTGACATTCTTTCCCAGCTCCCTGCTGACTGGACAAGAAAAGGAAGAGCAGCTATAACATCTGACTGGCAAACGGGGGAGCTCATTGAAGAAAAAAAACCTCTTGCCTGCCAGCAGCTCCCACATGTGGTTTTGTTTTCCTCGATTGCTTTAATAGCTCAGCTGCTATCATGAAATATTTTCTCCTTTGCTTCTCACCCTATGGAAAAATAATTGGGCTTGCCGCAGTAATTGCTCAGGTAGGGAGTGGGCAGGTGAGCTCTCCTTCCCTGGTGCGCGTCACCTAATCGAACCTGTGACGACGCACTGTCTCCTCTCGGACCGGGTTTACCCCCAAAAACTGCCATTCTGTTCCCCCAAAAAACGACAAGCACTTGAAATAAGCTACTAATATTCAGGGACAGTGGCTATGGGCTACTACTGCTCCTTTGCTTTTGTTTTGAACCAAGTTGTTTTAGTTTTAGAAACGGATCACGTAGTCCGTTTTTTTTCTGGTTATTTCTTTGTCCAGTTTTGCTCTGTGGCAGGGAGTGGCTGCATGGCTGGGTGACAATCAGCCCTCAAGACCTGCCGCATACAGGCAGGGTCTGTCTGACCACACCGTCCCGCCCTGCCCCGTTCCGGCCCCTCCGAGCCGCTCCTCACAGGCTGGAGCAGAGCAGGCCCTGAGGCCAGGCCAGCCTGCGAGGGTACCTTGCTGTCCTGCCAGTCCTGGTGTCGGCAGGTCTGGTAACTCACCGTCTCTAAACCTTCAAGTGAAAGGACTGGAGAACAAAAACAATCCATCTCTCACAGCAAATAAAAGTATTCATTTGCAGGTTGTGGTTTTAACTTAACTGACTTGTTAAATAAATGAGGGATGAGCGTCCACTAAAAAGAACTGCCACCTAGGCATTGAAGTGCTCGAGCCCAGAGCTGTGGCCCCGGGCAGCGCCAGGCCGGGGAAGCGGGTGCAGTGCTGCTCCGGCCGCAGGGAGCGGAGAGGCCGGGGCGCAGCCTGGGAGGAGGAAGCCAGTGCAGCAGAGAGGCTGCCAGCACGACGGAGAGCACGTGAAAATGAAAAACAGATTGGCATGCTAATGGCTTATTTGTTTTGCAGACCTCTGCAATAGCACAGCAGTCACACGTGTATCTCAGTTTTTTTTCTCTTCTTCAAATCTCTAGCATCCTGGAGAGGTTGGGGGGGGGCGGGCTGGCCCTGGCTCTGCTCAAACGCAGCCCTTGGGTCCGAACGCCCCCCCCCCCTCAGCTCCCAGCACGCGTCCCCAGGCCCTGAGGCTCTTCCAGGCTCTCAATCACAGGCTCGCTGCCTTTAATTCTAGCCAGGGTGCATTTGTCAATTAGCTTCCAGATCTTACAGTCAAAGAATGGGATTTGTAATTGTTGACAACCCTGCACACATCAGTGAGTTGCAGAGCTCTCATTATTTCATTGTGTTGGCTGTAATGTAACCATTGATCTCACTGTGGCAGTGTTTCATCGGTGACATTCCCATCCGCCTCTGTTCCTCATCAGCCCATCAGCTATTAGGAGCTGCTTAGTCAGAAACGGGGGTCAGCAAGTGGTGGAGCAGGCCAAGCACAGATTGGTATGGTTGGTGGAAGCAGTCCCAAGTTTAAAATAAACACTCTTCCATGCGTACTAAGTGATGTAACAAGAGAGGCCAATTCTCTCCACAAGCAAGCAGACAAATTAAAAGCAGTGATGAGAGCTGATGACTGACAGCTCAGCTGGGGCGGCAGACCCCAGGACCAGTGCTGGACATGCCTGTCCGACACCACACTGCCCACAGGGTGACCCTGCTGTCCTGCTCGGGGGAGCTCGGAGAAGTTTGTGGTGGGATCCTCTGGTACTTGAACACGGCTCATTCCATCTGAGCCTGTAAAGGTGAACTAAGTCCCTGGAGCATGAAGAAATGAACATACTGTACTTTAAACCTACACACACATTTAATTTGTATTAGTCTTTTGAAATAAATGCCCAAATCTGCAGTTAATGTTCCTTTTCTTTAATCATTTGCATACAAGTGCCTGACATATAGGTAAATACTTGCATATCTTCGATATCACAGCTGAGTGGCAGTTTGGAAAAGTATTTTTGGGATATAATGTTAACCATTTTCAGTCTGCTTGGGGTTAAACTTGAGTAATTTGCTGAATTGTTAAGAATGATAACTCAAAGGATTGCCCTCTAAATGTCGAGAGGGTCTTTATACTATGTGTTATGTTTGATCAAAACAGCTGTGGTTGATGTTCTCTGGGCCTGAACGACAGCTGCCCCTTTCTTAGCTTTTAATTTCTTTGGCTTTACATGAGACAGGCGAGCTAGCTGGTTTGTAACGAATCAAGAGGAAAACTGAGACACGGCACACGCTGAACAAATGAGCGGACTTGCCTTTTATTGTAGGATTGACTCCATTTCTGATAGGTGATTGCTCTCCTAGAAAATTGAAAGGAGAGGAAAAGAGACAGTGAGTGAGCCGACGCAGCCGTGTGGTTTTGCTTCAGTGCTCAGGCAGACTGCAGGACACCTGAGGGCTGCAGTGAGCGCCGCGGCCATCTTGAGCCTCCTTCAGAGGCAGGGCTGTCGCTGCCTGGGGTGGCTGGGGCTGCGGGGCTGCGGTCTCCAGCCCTGCTCATGGAACGGTACACACATTTCTGAAGACAAAAGCAATTTAACGGTGGTCAAACAAACAGGTGGGCTATTGCATGAAGTAGACTAGGGGTCACGTGGAGCACATATCAGAAGAATCTGCAGCACTCCTTGACCCACGTGTCCTGAATTGCACCGATGAAGGCAGGGCTGTAAGAAGCAGGTGATGGAGCAGGACCTCTGGGCCGAACTGGGCTGGGCTGTCTGAGACCTGCGGGGAGACCCCTGCCTGAGGCTTTCAGCGGCCACGCTCCCTCCCCACGCCACGGGCGCCTGATTCTCCCCGTCTTCCCCCGTGTCCTCTAGCTGTACCGCTCTCCCTCTCTCTCCTCGCCCCCCAGGCAGACGTGACTCCAGGGCTCACCATGTCATCCTCGCACTCGTCCTGCGTGACCTCGTCGCCCTCCTCCCCGTCTCCGTTCAGCGGCTCCTCCGTCAGCTCCTCCGCCTCCGACGCCGAGTCGTCCTGCGAGACCTCGCTCTTGCTCTCCTCCGCCTTCCGCATCTCTGCGGGCACGGACACAGCGGCTCAGCCGGGGCCGGAGCCTGCCCGCTCCCGGGAGTCGCCAGCCCCACGTTTATCAAAGGGGGGTCTGGTTCATCCCACACCTGTCCCTAAAGCCCTGCTCGATCAGCGGACCTGGGGGCTGGATCTTTCATCTATGATCGGAAACTTACTCAGTTTATCGGATCGCTCGCTTCACTGTTCACTGTTCAATTGTATCTAAAAGTCTTCAGACGTCTAGGCCACATATAAAAGCTTCAGGACTGGAGACCTCCAGGACAGGACTGGAGAACCAGGACAGGGTGAATGTCTCACTCTCATGTGTCTGGGTTTGCCCTCCCGGCACCGAGACCTGAAGTTACAGCTCAAGGGGTCCAAAACACAGTGCGATCCCCCATCACATCTCTTCTCTGCCAGGAAGTAAGTTCTCTGACAGTGAAGTATGTTAGGCTCCCAGGTTTTAAAAAGGTGCAAGGAAGCATTAGCTCTCCAGGCATAACCATATCAAAGTAGTTTCCTGAACCCGAGGGCACAAACTAGGAACTAATGTGAAGTGCAGTTAAAACCTAAGAACTGGAGGCACTTCTTTTCTTTTCACCAAGGGTGGAAGGAGTCTGTAACAAGTTTCTTTCAAGAACCAGCCAGATGAAATCTTCAGATCGTTTAGCTGCTAGCAACCAAATGAGCTAGATGTACTAAGTGGTGTCTGCAAGCCGCCTTATTAACTAACTGCAGAATGTTTATATACTGCAGGTGATGATCCTGCATTCCTTAACTACAAACACAAAGGCACGTACAGTATTCTTTCCTAGTGAGCTTTTCCAAAGGCCTTGCATGTGAAAAAGTACAGCTGAAGTACAGTTCAGAGGCAGAGAGATGGACCAGAGAGGCGCTGAGCTTTGCCACATCACACTGCACTGGAAACTGTCTCACTGAAGCTTGACAACAGCCCCTCTGGGGGCGTGAGAGAGCATGCATTGCTCCACATCCCTTTGCTGATTTTATTGAACCAATAAATCAGATTCTCTTCCAGGGAAACAAGTTTCAGAAACAGTTCAGTCTGAGACCTCAGTGTATTGTGTCACCCTGCCCTCTGCTGGCCAAGTCTGTTAATTAAAGGTCCCTCGCGTGATTTGTACCTCTTTCCTTCATCGTTTAATGTCATATAATTTCCTTAATGGCACTTTTTAACAGAAAGTTCAAACTACAGGAGATGAGCAGACCCTTCTCTGGGTCCATGTGTGGCCCAGATGCACATTTAGACTACTACTATGCTGACTCACCTTAAGGCAATTCAATTAATTAATCAGGACCAGTTGAGAGGGAACAACAACAGTTGAGAGGTCCTCAAAAAACTGCAACACATTCCTTCATCACTAGGTTTATTTGAATAACTAATAAGCCCACCTTACTTACTCCCTTTTTATATCTTAACTACCTTCAGTCACATCTCCTTTCAGGGCTAGTTCAGCGGAGACTGAAGAGATTCAGTTCCTTCTCAGCTGATGCCCCGAGTCGTGGAACTCATCGGCGGTTTGTGGGCGGCTGCTCTGACCCTCACCTGTGGCGCTGTGCTTGTCCTCGGTGATCTGCTCCAGCCTGCCCAGCAAGGCGTCGATGTTGGACTTGATCTGGGTGAGCTCGGACTTGATCGCCTGGAGTTCATTGGATTTCACTGCAATTATTTAACAGCAATTATTAGACAGCCACTAACTATATTATATAGCATCTCAAACACAACTGTCCCACTGTAGTAGTAATACTCCTGGGACTCATGAAGTCTTAGCACTCTAAGCACTCGAAGATGGGAGGACAGGCAGCACCTGTTGGCTTTGTTTTCATGAATCCTGGCTGCCTACAGTGGGTACTGGCTCCTGCAGCCTAAACACAAAACTATTTTTGATTACGTGCTGTGATTTTGCAAACATGCAGAGCCATGCATGAGTGTTTCTTACTCAGAACATTTCCTGTTGGTCACTGCCAGCTGAATGAGACCATCCGAGACCCGATAAAGCTTGCTCGTGTGAAGCCCCTCACTAACACACCTGCTCGAGCTGGGAGGCTGCCGTCTCTTCGCTCTGGGCTTGCATCATCAACATCTTTTACAGGCCAGCAGTTACAGGGGCAGGAAGCAACAAACCCTTTCTGTGCTGCCCGCTCCCGAGTGGGCACAGCGGCTGGGGAGACGAATCACCCCCCCCCCCCCCCCCCCAGGCACCCCTGCTGCCCAGAATACTCACACTTCTGCTTGGCAGAGCTGTTGGCGATGGCGGCGGAGCGGGCGAGCAGCTTGACGGGCAGAGACTTCACCCTGCGCACCAGGGGCACGGCGACGCGGGGACGCTTCACGGGCACCACACGGGGCACCGGGGACACGCGGCCTCGGTACTCGAACAGCCTGGGGGGGGGGCAGGCGTGAGAGGAGCTCACCGCAGCGCAGCCGTTTACAGCTTTAAAGAGCGATTTCCATCCGCTTTCTTTATTTTTGGACTTGCCAACAGAATCTTTATGACAATTTGCCCCTCTAAATCGGCCTTTGACGCGCAGGGCAGAGTGCGCAGAGAGCCCCTGAGGGGGCAGTGCCAGTCTGAGCAGGGGCTTGTCGCTCACCGGGGCCAGGAAGCCCAGCCTGTTTGAGGAACTCCCACAGCTGGCACACGGACTGTTTGTCACGGAGATACAGAGTGCCAGACCGCCGCCGAGCCATCAGCATGCATCCACAGCGAACTCCCCTCAATCGGGGACCGGGGGCAAATCAGCACACAGCACACAGCGACACCATCGTGGTGAATCTCTAGAAGCCGTGACTGAAGGAGCCGGCGTCGCGAGGCGTCAGTGCTGAACAACCCCGCTGACCTGTCTCGGCGAGCTCCCGGTGTTTTACACACGGGGGGGAGACGAAGCAGCGGCTGTCCGTCTCCAGCACAGCGGTGAGCCTCCAGCCGCCAGAGCAGGAAGGGAGGTCGCCAGCCCCAGGGACCCGCGCTTCCAGACGGGCTGGTGCGGGCGTCTGCAAACCCCAGCGAGTCCCAGTTTGCGCTCTGAGCCTTAACGCCTCCATCGGCGCCACACCCCAGAGTGACTCTTACTAACGAACGCAGCGAACAGAACCAAAGTGGTTATCGGGATTCAGACAAACCTGTCGTAGAAGTCATCTCTGTAGTAATCGTAGTCGAAGTCGTACCCACTGGAAGGCAAGAAACAGACGATAGAATCATCATTAAGGTGTGTAATACAGACAAGTGTTCATCTTCCCAGCTCCACTGGGGCTGGCCCTGCAGAGAGGCCAGTCCTGACAGCTCCCACTCCTGCTCTGGACTGGAAGGGCAATTTAGCCAGCTAACCCACCCACGTGTCTTTTGGGCGGTTAGGAGACACTGGAGCACCTGTAGAAAACCCACAGACGTACCCCAGTCCGGAATTGAACCTGGGACCCTAGAGCTGTGCAATCCCAGCACTTACTGCCATTCCACCCACCAAAACAACGACAGTCACACCCATAGAATCCCCTGGGTGTGAAAACTGAAACAGCCACTGAAGAGACAAAGTGACTGAGACCCAGGAAAATTAAAGTCACCTGTACAGAGCTGCGGCCGATCTCTTCAGGCCCTTCGGCCTGTTGGGCTTGGGCTCCCCGGCCATGTTGATGTCTGCAGGGAGGGGGAGCAGAAGAGGGCAGAGAGAAAGAAGATTAAAAACGAGGTCCTGTGACATCTCTTATGCATTGAGATTCAGAGTTGACAGCGGGAGTCCAGTTTCCCTTGCAGGCAGCACGCCTGCCCTGTAAGCTGTATGATTGCCTGAGCTGTTCAGAATGTTTGAGCTTGCCCCATAGATTAGATTGTAAAAAGAAAGGAAGCCTGTATGTTCTTTTGTAAGGGCTTGAGTTGGAAGGAGTAGTAGTTTCAGTAAGGTCAGTAGGCCACATAAATAAATCTTGTACCCATTACACTTCACTGGACCATGTGCCATGTTTTCCCCCTGGAAACAAATTCCCTGTAATAAAGGTTCTGCTTTGGGTGCTATAGTACTTGCTCACTGCAGGAGAATTAGCATCACTCTCATCTACTCTTTTCACCTGCTCATAAATGCTTTTAAGTCTGCTCCGGCTTCTGGCACGCAGCTAGCAGCACTGAATTTCAGGCAGCATTTCTGAATTATAAAACTAGCCCCAGGCTCAGATGAAGTAATAAAAGCCATGATGAATTTAACATCAGGCTCTGTGGAAATCTGGATTTCTGGCGAGTGTTATGAGCCCCTTCCTTGGTCACTTGGCAGTGTGTTAATACTGCAGGTCAAATGATGGTTGATCATGAGAGAAGGAAGCACTGCAGGACTGATTAATAAGTCATTGTTTCCTTAGCTCAACAGTATTTTGAGCCAGTGTCAAGATGATTCATTACTGATCTCTGTGCTTGCAGTGCAGGTTTATATCCACTGGGGGGCAGCGCAACCCCACTTTGTTTGCACATGAAATGGAAACTCTTCTGCCTCTGACATGTGCGAGACTTGATCCTACAGCACCCATTTTCCACAGAACTGACTGTGCGGCAGGCAGGGCTTTGCATTTAAGACTTCTGTCGCATCTCTGTGATAGGAACACTGTACTGTTGCAAGCAGCAACAAACGGGATGACAGTGAAACTGCATAACTTGTGCAGAGGAATTGGACAAGGAGTAAAAAAGCTTGTTAACCTGAGCATGAAAGGAGACCTGCGCTGGGGAGGAGCTGAATAAAAGCACGGCGTCTGACAGGATGTGCTGGAGACTCCATGAGGTGCAGACACCTGCAGGTCACACACCTGACCTGCTTTCATTCCTGCTCGACAGTAACAGCTACAAGAAAAGGGTCTCATTTTCGTCATTTCAAAGGCCCTGCACTGCCCAGAGCCTTTTTACTGAGGAGCAGAACCTTCTGTAACACTTGTAACCCGCTGGCCTTCAAACCCAACCTTCACACACACATGAAGCCATCATATGCAGACATCAAACCTAACAGCTGCAGGGCGGACTCAAACCAGCCAGCGACGCCAAAGGAGAGCAAGCGAGAGGGGGCGTACCCAGAGTCTGCCCGGCCAGCACGCGGCCGTTCTCCCCCAGCACGGCGCCGCGCGCGTGCCGCTCGCTGGCGTACTGGACGAAGGCGTAGCCCTTGTGCACGGAGCAGCCCAGCACGCGGCCGTACTTGGAGAAGATGGTCTCCACGTCTGACTTCTTGACCACGGCCGTGTTCAGGTTCCCGATGAAGACCCGCGAGTTGATGGACTTGGGGTCGTTCTTGTTCGTGATGTTGCTGGCCTGGACCTTGAGAGACATCCTTCTGCTTTTCCTCCTCTTCTTTCAACTGCGTGGGACAAGAAAGAAGGAACATGGCAGTCAAGAAGCAGGGCTGCGACCACATTTCAACCAGGCAATAACCATGGAGCTGCTTGACAGCACTGTTCCCCCAGGAGGTGAGGACGCGCACTGAGCGGACTTCTCCTCTGGCTGACGGGCATGAGGTCAGCCCTGGGGGTGAGGTGAGGCTTCAGTGTGACCGCACGGCGGCTAGTTCCTGACCGACCTCCCCACCTCCCCTTCCTGATTCCCACTGCACTCCCACTCCCAAATCACAGTCCGTGGCTAATCAGAGCCTGTCCTCACACTTGACGACCCTCACCCCCTTCTTGGCTCTCCTAGAAAATGACATTACAGGACATTATATACAGGAAATGAAATAAATTCCAGCACTGAATTCCTGCTGTATAATAATGAAACAATGGAGACAATGGAGAGACCTGAGGGAAGCATGTGACGGCTGCTTTCCCATTCCTGACTGTAGGACTAACCTGCGGCACCGAGGTGCACACAGCCCAGCGAGCTTCTCCCCAGGCCCTGTGGCAGCGCTGTCCCAAAGGGCTGGGAGGCAAACCTGCTCATCTAATGGGCGCGCGGCCCTGCTGCTCGAATGAGGCAACTCGAACGAAAGCCACTTAAAGGCCTGGAGAACTGCCAGTCACCGCTGAATAAAACCAGGACCGGAGGGAGCCAGTGTTTAAAGACACCGCAGGCGCCAGGTACGCCGCCCCCGGCTGCTATCGACTTCAGGGCTGCTCCGTTCATTCCCATCAGGCCCTGGGGCTTGGCGGCAGTCTCCGCTTGACGTTCTGCTCAGAAAGGCGCCCTGGCTGGCTGCTGGCGGAACTGGAGGGGGCTCACAGTCCCGCAGAGTCCTGTGCTGACGTCTTGGGTGGATCGTCATCAGACATCAGAGAGAATGACCAACCACACGCCTTGGCCTGATTATACAACCAGCTGGACCTCAGGTCCACAGAACAGTGGGCATACCTTAAAAACACAATTCTACAGCAGCTGCAACTGACATAATGAACCTTCTCTCTAACAAGAAGAAAAAGCAAACGCTGTGTCTCTCAGGGGCACAGAGAGCAATCTTTTGCTTCTGTCAGTGTCAGAGGTGTTGAGAGGTTAGCCCTTCCCCTCTGTAGAGCTCTGAGTTCTGAACTTGCCTCTCAGTCAGTGGCCTTTCCCTGAACTCAAATACTGCAGGTGCCAACAGCACTCTATACCTGGCTAGCTCAGGCACAACAACACTACACCTGGTCCCCTGCTGCACAAACACACAAACAGGACTGCACACCTGGTCCCCTGCTGCACAAACACACAAACAGGAGCTGCTGTTCCTGCTGCTGTGTCGCCTCCCTGCCGCTGGACGAAGGCGGCAGGTCCTTGCACCTGCAGCAGCAGCAGTCTGGCTCACATCTACACAACAGGGTCGCTGAGCTCCCTGCACAGGGAATGGACCCGGGGGGGGGTTTGCTCAGAGGCGTCTCTGGTAATGCAAAATGGCAGGTTATATCAGCTAAGTGGGCTGACCAGAACACGGGTGCAGAGCCTCGTCTCACCCACAACAAAAATCTTGCTTCCATTCCCCCCCCCCAACAGCACAACAAAGCAATAATCTAATGCGGACAAAAACATTCTCCTCACACAATGAATTTAAATAATTAAATTTCATTTCGCACAGATTTTTCCACATCCATATCCAGTGAGCATTCCGTGGCCCGATGTGGGAGATTCGGAGGTGTTTCACGAAGGTGCTTGTCGCCGTGCTGTGTCACCTGCAGCCCCAGGAAGGCAGAGGCAAGATCACCCGAGGGTGTGCACACATGTGTGCTCACACACGCGTGCAGACGTACATGTGCAAGCGCTGATGCGTGAGAGCGGCTCTGTTTGTTCCCTTGAAGTAGGAACAATTATCATGAAGCAGAAGAGGTGCACACAGAAACTCTGCTCGCACTACAAAAACGCCTCTTGGTAAATGTGCAGTATGTGCAAAAACCCCAAGCAGACCAGAATACAAACTCAAAGAGGCACTTCACGAACAATGCAGCACAGTCACTTTTAGCCAGCCTTTGTTTTGTAACGTACTAAAACAATGACAATAATGGGGGCGACACCTGACGTGGACTGCGGTTGCTCTCCCTAATAACCCTCGCGCCTGGTGTGCATGTCTCCCGCTCGTGGTGGGGACACAGCTGCAGAGCTGGAGCGCAGCAGGGCGAGACCTGCCAAGGGGACAGCCCCAGCACCCTCGGGGCACAAGCCGGGCAGAGGGCAGCAAAACCAGGGACCATGGAAAAACGAGGGCTGGTGGAGGCAAAGGCTAATCGACCCGTCTATCCCTTTTCCCCCCAAGAAAAATGCCTTTCTTCTGCTGTCCGTTAATGGAATATCAAGGGATAATGTTCTGCTTCACCGCAGGGTACAGCTGGAGACGGGGCAGAGCAACACTACTCCAATAACAGGTCTCCATCCTTAAGAACACTTTTATTCAGTCACAAATGTTCTGAGCCTCTGATCAGGTTGTTTTGCCTTCGTTAGCCTGAATGTTGCCCCTGAACGACCAGAGTGAGTTGTATCCGGCAGGATCTGGGGGAATATCCTGCCCACCGGAATGTTTATACCCATAATCAGTGTAACCTGGGACTCCGCCAGAGGAAGTGTGTGAAATCAGAGGCCATCAGAGGCCCTGCCCCCATTGCATACAGGAGACACTGTATCACTTTATCTATGCCTGGTTTTACCTTAAGCACTCCTTGAAACATCCAAGATTATGAAATAGTAAATCTACAAAAGAAATCAGCACACAATCAGGCAGCCTGCCTTGTGCTGCCCTTGGCTGTTTTAATTTATTAAAAATACAGTGCTCACAGCTCTGTAATGTTCTACAAAGTCATTAAAACAATAATTTACCCCTTAAAAATAATTTACATTACGGAGAGCAAACCAGTTATTTTATATTCACTTCTGCAGATTAAAGACAAATTTCGAAACAGATCGATAACAAAAACAAATGAAAACCTGCGATGAGTGTGTGCTGGTGGAGGAGGAAGGGGTGTGTGTGTGTGTGTGTGTGTGTGTGTGTGTGTGTGTGTGTGTGTGTGTGTGTGTGTGTGTGTGTGTGTGTGGGGGGGGGGGGGTGCTGCTCTGCCCTGTGAGGAGCAGGAGGTCACCCCAGTGGCCTCGGTCCCTGAAGGTCACAGTCCGCCCGCCCGGCGCGCAGGAGGAAAGGTGATTGATCGTCTCCCGTGGGGGATCCGGTGAAGGTGCTTGCGGCTCCACTGGGCGCCGAAGCGGCACCGCCCTCTCCCCAGTTATTGACTTTCCAGTGCTCATCCGGGGGGGGTGTCAAACACCCCCCGACCCCTGACGGGACAGAGGACACAGCCGGGGTGAGCCCGTATCCGACTGCGTGTCTCGCGAAAGCGCTGCTTTCCTGCTGGGCGCCTCCTGGACAGCGGGCAGGTCTTGCACGGGAAAGAAAACGCCTTTTGGATTCATTCAACAACACGGTTTAGCTTTGAAAGCAGCAGAGCACGTAAAACCGATTCAGGACCCCCCGGCGTCAGACTGAGCAGGTACTGCTCGACAGCCCACTGCGGCCGAGACGCTCTCGTCCTCTCCGCCGATGGAAAGGAAACATTCCTGTCTGCTGGCCGGATTTAAAAAACGAGTCACATTCAGCGGACGGCTGTAATGAGAAAAACTAATTGCGGTACAGGTAGGGACTCTGCTTCTTGCCAAGCTGGGCCCAGACAGTGTGGAGGGCCTCGGGCCGGAGCTGGTAATCCTGATAAACTCCGCGTGGAGCTGCCCGCCAAGCGCCTCGCTCCGGCGAAGAGCTGGATAATTGAGCTCCAGGCCTGCCCGCCGGCCCTGCGCGCCTCCCCCCCTCTAACACGCCGATCCCGAGTGAAGAGAGGAGCTCGTTGTGAGTGTGCGATGGCTGATACCGGGCTTGTCCCCCTAAGCCCTCTCCGAGCTGAGCCGTGGCGAAATGTATTCAGTGTTAATAAGCCGTGGCCTCTCTGCAACCCCGCAGCGTGGCTCCTGCAGAATCCGGCTGAGCATGCTCCGAACAGCTGGCCAGCTGCCCAGCGGCCTGAGCACAAGGTCACTGGAAACGTGCGAAGGCGTCTGGAGGGAAGGGAAGGGGTCACCCATAACCACCGACAGCAATTCCCAGTACACCCCCCCTGTACAGAGACATTAGAGTGACTGCTTGTTTGGAGTGGAGTGTCAGAACCACACATGCTGAAGTCAGACATTTAAGTGCAATTAACAAATAAGTGTGATGCATATTTTCTTCTAATACACATAAAACATGCGAATGATGACACTGACTATTAATTTTCTCACTGCATGTTTGAGGTTTTAATTAAATGGTTAAATCTTCAAATAAGTGTGACTTTGACGGCTACATTATAAAGTATGAATAGGACACCATGTCTTATATAACTGTATCCCTTATCATATGCCGATGGTAAACATTTCAAGCCATATCAAGGGTTATGTGTGCCTAATTCTGCTGCTAGGATATTCTCAAAGCTAGCAGCACATACTGCTCATTCATGCTTTGCTATTTTTAGAAGAGGCAAAAAAAAAAGAATATTTACAACTCCAGAATGCCACAGTGGGAAGGAACAGAAGCCAAGGCTTATTTAATTCTGCTGTTGCTTCTCTGTATCCATTCATTTTGTTTCTGTTGTCGATGAAATCGTTTCAAAAGAACAAGCGCTCCAGATCTCCCTCCGTGTTCCTGACGAAGTGCGTCGGCTCTAAATTTAGCTCCCTGCCCCGTGCTCCGATTCGTTCACGCGACACTCTTCCGCCTTGCGGAGCTCACAGGGCCCGGCCGGGGGAGCCTGCTGGGGTCGTGGCCACTTAGCTGCACACCACAGTCTGTCTCACCGCTCGGGAAGGCCTGCCCGGGCACCCTTCTGCAGCAGCACCTTGCAAACACGGTCACAGCTGCAAGGGGAAACTGCAAACCCCTCAGAGGAA